GAGAAAATTAAGTCGTTATAACGAGAAAACAAGAAGGGAAAAAAAGGGCCGCTTAGAACTTCCGTATTTAAATGCATTTATGAGAATACAAATAAGAAATGTTGAGGGGAAAAATGCATACTTTTCAACAAACTTCTCAACTAAACTACCAGTAAGTGATGGTAAGTCACTTGATGAGTGAGTCATTGAGTCATTCACTCAACTGATTGAGAGTGTTATTGTGCTGGTATCTTAAGGACTTTCGTGGACAGCTGACTCCTAAAGTTTTTTATATTCTTCATATTCTGTGTGGTGACAGATAGAAATTAATCTTTTCCAATAAGTTTAAATAGATCTTTACCTTTTATGGGCATTTTACCTTTATAAAGCCATTTTTCTATAAGTGTGCATTATCTTTTGAGTCAAATTCTTACATTTAATTCAGTGAATAAGAATAAGACATTTGGGCTGTTACCAACCAAATGAAATCAGTATCAACAAAATTCATCTTTGCAATCCAGACATAAGCTGCACCTGAAGTGGCATTTAGATGTGTTTACACGCTGTTTAATGCAGAACATGAATGCATTTAACCTGCAGTTACAAATGCATAAATAATGTTTTGATATATTAAACATAAAACATTGAATACTGATATTTGAAATAATTAAAAAAATGAAAAGATACTTTAAATGTGAAATTAAAACCGCCAGTAGGTGTCAGCGAGTCACTGTTAAGTGAGTCATTGCGAATGAACCGAATCATTTAAACAGTTGATTCATTCAGGAACGAAACACCGTCCTGTTGCTCAGAGACGCAAAACAGTGACTTTGTTTGGAATTATTTTTGTTGGCGAAATAGTGCAAAAACAGGCAATATGGTGTCTAAAATGTAAGTCTCTTAATAAAACTTCTAGTTTATTAAACTGTTGTAAAAAATCAATATTACATTTGTACATGGTAATTTTTGGAGAAAAAAAGCACTCTTCCGTGTGAAATTGATAAACTATAAGAAGTGGTATAAATATACACATTTTCTGCCCCCATGTCTTGAATTTGTGATCATTCTGAATGTATTTTTATAGACTGAATCATGCAGTGAAAGAGCGCACTGTAAATGCGCACGTGCACTAGACTTCACGTAATGCGTGCACTCTGTAAGTGTTTTGAATGTTTTTTGCATCGTGAGAATATTGAGTAAAATAGCTCACTTGTCATGGTGTTATTTAACTATATCATGTTATGAATAAACTAGACATTGTGAATTTTTACCTCAGTCTGTTTCTTCCGAGTTTGTGTGTGCGATTACGCTCATTTGTTCTGAAGTCTCTCACAAAGTGACAAACAGAGTGATCCTCAGCAGCGCGAGCTTGTATTCTGTATTCTGCTAATTTAGGCCTACTGCAATTCTCTCTGATGACGCAGTAACTTACCGCGGGGAAGAAAAAATATTCGGTCTGTCCAATGATTGTAAAGTCATTAGGTCCGTCAGACGGAAGATATTTTAGCTTAATGTGACCAAAAATATTTAATTTTTGAAACCATCGAATCCGAATTTAAGACATTTTAAGACTTTTAAAGGCCTTATATTAGGAAAACGTTATTTAAGACATTTTAAGGACCCACGGACACCCTGAGTATGAATGACATACACTGGTGACATGTTTCACAATCACGACAAACAATCAAATACTGCCCTAAACTCAATAGCGGAAAGGCAGCGCTATCCTGCAAGTATGGCGGATAAACCCCATTTCCCAGAACTCAACGCGGCCTTACTTCACATTCTCATTCTTTATTGTTTTGAAAATGCGACCTCTAGTGGCGAAAACTTACGTATTGTACCTTTAAGACTTTTTAATAATAAGGTCTTATTTTTACACTACGGATCTGTGGGCAGCCTGTGTCTAAAGCTTTGTTAGCTTAATGTACCACAAAGAGTCGTGAAAAGATTAATGAAGAATAAAGACCAACCTCCTTGTTCCTTGTGTTTTATTATCCATGTTTCTTGTTCCTCGTGTTTTATTATCCGGGTTTCTTGTTCCTCGTGTTTTATTATCCGGGTTTCTTGTTCCTCGTGTTTTATTATCCGGGTTTCTTGTTCCTCGTGTTTTATTATCCGGGTTTCTTGTTCCTCGTGTTTTATTATCCGGGTTTCGTACCACAAAGAGTCCTGAAAAGATTAATGAAGAATAAAGACCAACCTCCTTGTTCCTCGTGTTTTATTATCCGGGTTTCTTGTTCCTTGTGTTTTATTATCCGGGTTTCTTGTTCCTCGTGTTTTATTATCCGGGTTTCTTGTTCCTCGTGTTTTATTATCCGGGTTTCTGGTTCACTCGTGTTCTCCTCACTCTCCTCTTTAACAAACAGCATCTTCACAGCAGCAGATCTCAGTTCAGATGATACTCCTCCAGATATCCCTGCTTGCCTCAAAACTTAGTCACGACTGTGAGGATGAGAATATTACAGGTATTTTACTGACCTGATTCAAAAACTGTATTTCTCTATTTACAGAAACAACATTTCTAACAGTTTGTATTAAACCAGCATCACGACAAAACAACAAAGAGCGCGGTGAAACTAACCTTCTTCCTCTGAGGTTTAATGGTGTTTGGTGAACAAACGATCGTGTCTTAGCGCCACCCGCTGGACAGGAGTGTGAAGCAGCGAGAGGAGCGAAATAATACATGAAAATTACTTTGTGCGTGTAAGGTGCACTGATTTATTTTTATGGAGTCAAAACAGCGCCACATATTCTTGCAAAAATAATTATAGTATTGCAGAAGAAAATAAAGTTTTGCAAACGAAAATGTAAGTATTGAAAAAAATGCTTTTTGCAAGCAAAAATAAAGAATTGCAAAATAAAATGAAGTATTGCGAGAAAAAAAGTAGTTTTGCAAACAAAAATAAAGAATTGCAAAATATAAATGAAACAGCACAAAAGCAATGATTTTGCAATACATATTTTCCATGGCCATATCCACTAATTTATTTGCAACGCTGCTTTTATTTTGCGTTTCAGTCAAGTTTGAGCTTGCGATACCGTTTTCCCTTTGCGCTTCACATTTCTTCGCGTCTCACTTTCTGGCACTGTTTTGACATGGGGGTGGAGTCAAGGGACGGGGCGTGTACAACAGGCCTAGGCATACCTCCCTGGAAGTGACGTCATCGCCCCGAGACGCAGATCACTGATCCAAGCATTGAGCAGAGTGGAGGCTCAAGATGGCGGAGTGAGTAGTCGTATGTTTGGAGCTGAGAAACGAAAGTGGGAATTACTCATTTAAAAAAAGGTTTAGTATTGTGAAATTGCAAAAATAATTTGTTCTAGAGTAACAACAATTGCTTTTGGAATTTATTAGGTGTTCCCTCTCATAGGCTCACTTCGATGCTGCGATGACGTCATCGCTTTGGGAACACCTTTGGTGTGACGAATGTCTGAAGCCCTTATACCATCATGCCAATTCATTGGCCAAATAGCGCTTAGCACTGCCCCCAAAGCGCACGTAGGTGAGCTATATAGCGTGCTGCGCGCTATTTTCATCAGATTTAATTTCCTTTAGGAAGCGAATCATCTGTCGCCCGTAGGAAAGCAAATAAAAAAAGAAGTCGTGTTCTTAGCTATTTCTTCTAAAAGAGCAGTTTACTCCTCTTCAGCGGACACGATGAGCTACAGGAGATGCATCGAGCCGTGTGACAGGTTCATCGCAGGAGGAGACACTCATGACAGGTGCGTGCAATGTTTGGGCCTACAACATGCCCAAGCGGCGCTTAGCAGCCTTTCTGATTGTCGACACTGTGATAGCCTACGGCTAAAAGCACTGCGCTCGAGGTTCACGGCCTTCTCAAATAAAGTAGGCCTCGCGTCTAACCCCCGCTATCCCGTTTCTGCGGTTGCCGAGGCGCCGCACGAGACGGTCGCTTGGGGTCACGCATGCGAGCCGAGGCGTTTAGAGGGTTTTAGAGTTTTCTCCTTTTCTCTCACTCTCTCCGGGCCATGTGCAAGCGCTACGGGGACCCCGTGGGCTTCGTCAATGATAATTTGCGGCCTACCCCGGAAACTCGCGATGCGATGTCTTTCGGTTGTATGCCGTATGATGAAGACGTGCTGTCCACAGCAGCCTCCGATTCGGAGGATTTATTGGGTGAACTGTGCAGTTCTCTCCCTCCGAGTGGACAGGAGAAACGCACCTCGCCGTCTTACAGCGAACTGTTAGATGTTGTAACGCGCATAAGCTGTGGATAAGCTGGGGTTAGAGTGGGATAGCGAGCCGGCACAAATTCAGTCCCAGTCGAAACTGAACGATCGATTTTTGTCCAGCCGCACTCCGTCTCAGCCCCGTAGGCCTCTCCCCTTTTTCCAAGACCTCCACTACGAGGTTTCGAGGTCTTGGAAACAACCTTTTTCGGCGCGTATCACAAATCCCGCTGTCGCTGATTTCGCCACAGTCTCTAAAATGGCGGCTCACGGCTACTTGGTGATGCCGGCTGTAGAAGAGACTCTCACGGCACATCTCGCGCCGAATTCCGCTCCGTCTTAGAAGGCACGCCCTCTGCTACCGTCCAAGCCATGTAGGGTTACTTCCGCTTTGATCGGGAAATCTTACATGGCCGCTGGGCAGGCCGCGGCTACTCTCCATTCTAGGGGTGTACTCCAGGCTTATCAGGCAGATGTGCTCAAGGAGCTGGACAAGGGAGAAGGCCTGACTCCAGAGGCCGTTAAAGAGCTCAGACGAGCTACTGACTTGGCGCCGCATATTGCGCCTCGGGCAGTTTTAGATCGAGTCTTTACGACGAGCACCTCCTCGGATACTCTGTGTGTTCCAGCCTTCAGAGTTTGAGAAAAAGCCCAAGGGTCATGCGAGCATGGCCCGTTTATGACGGCCTCCAAAACTCCCATTTTTGGGGCAGTGGGCAGGCCCGACAGAACAATCGGACATCTTCCCATTATAGTTTTTCCCGCCACTCAGGTGCTTCGGGATCCGAAACGGGAAAATCAGGTGGACGTTTCAACCGTAGAACACCCAAGACCCCTGGCAGACTACTGGGCCGCGTGGAGACGCCTGCCCGATATTTCACGGTGGGTACTACACACCATTCGACACGGGTACACTATCCAGTTTCGGAAAGGGCCACCACCTTTCAGCGGGGTTCTTCCTACGACGGTACGTCCTGGGAACGCCTCGATTTTAGGTCAGGAGATCGTATCACTCCTAGAGAAAGGGGCTATAGAAGAGATACTCCCCACTCAGATGGAGTCAGGCTTCTACAGCCGGTATTTTGTTGTGCCCAAGAAAGATGGTGGTTTACGTCCGATTTTGGACTTACGTCGTCTAAACCTCGTGCTCAGAGTGAGCAAGTTCAAGATGTTAACAGTAAAGTCCATTCTGTCTCAGGTCCAATCCGGAGATTGGTTTGTGACCATCGATCTAAAGGATGCATACTTTCACATGCAGATCGTCAAGAGGCACAGGAAGTTCCTCAGTTTTGCTTTCAAGGGCAAAGCATACCAATACAGTGTTCTTCCGTTCGGACTAGCTTTGGCTCCTTGAACATTCACAAAATGCATGGACACAGCTCTGGCCCCATTGCGGCTCCAGGGCGTCCGAATTTTGAACTACCTGGACGATTGGCTAATACTAGCTCAATCTCAGGATCAGGCACGGATACATCGAGATCTGGTACTCGATCATCTGAGGAGCCTAGGGCTACGGACGAACCTTCAAAAGAGTGTCCTGCTGCCGTGTCGGCAAACAACCTTTTTGGGGGTGGACTTGAACTCTTGCACGATGCGGGCACGGCTGTCTCCCACTTGTGTGCAGTCAATACGGACCTGTCTAGGTCATTTCAAGACAGGGCGCCGAGTACATGTAGGCCTGTGTCTCAGGCTGTTGGGTCTGATGGCGGCAGCGTCCCCTGTAGTTCAGTTGGGCCTGCTTCACATGCGACCATTTCAGTGGTGGACCAAGAGCCAGAACATTTCACATCACTGTCACCCGCTTCGCAGAATTCCGGTGACACGAAAAGGCTCTCGTTCTCTAAGCCCCTGGATGAGACCCCAGTTCCTTCTGGAAGGAGTCCAGATGGGGACGTTGTGTTGCTGCAAAACGGTTACAACGGACGCGTCTCTTACAGGCTGGGGAGCAGTCCATCAAGGACGTCCAGTCGGTGGAGTCTGGACAGAGGTACATCGAGACTGGCACATAAACCATTTGGAGATGCTTGCGTTTATCCTGGCTCTCGAACAGTTCTTACCCCAGCTGAGGGTTATCATGTGTTAGTCAGGACAGACATCACGGCAGTTTTGTCGTACCTCAATCGTCAAGGGGGATTACTTACTCGCCCCCTGTGCAGGCTGGCAAGGCGTACTCTTCTCTGGGCTCAGACAAAGTTCTTGTCGATCAGAGCAGTCCATATCCCAGGTCGCCTGAAGTCAGGAGCGGATCTGCTCTCGAGGCAGAGTCTGCAGAATGGGGAATGGAGATTGCACCCCCAGGTGGTGGATCTTATATGGCAGAGGTTCAGCCGAGCGGAAGTGGACTTGTTCGCTTCGAGCATGACTACGCACTGCCTGCTTTGGTTTTCCCTGTCTCCCCTGTCACCTCTAGGTCAGGTACATCGAGACTGGCACATAAACCGTTTGGAGATGCTTGCGTTTATCCTGGCTCTCGAACAGTTCTTACCCCAGCTGAGGGTTATCATGTGTTAGTCAGGACAGACATCACGGCAGTTTTGTCGTACCTCAATCGTTAAGGGGGATTACTTACTCGCCCCCTGTGCAGGCTGGCAAGGCGTACTCTTCTCTGGGCTCAGACAAAGTTCTTGTCGATCAGAGCAGTCCATATCCCAGGTCGCCTGAAGTCAGGAGCGGATCTGCTCTCGAGGCAGAGTCTGCAGAATGGGGAATGGAGATTGCACCCCCAGGTGGTGGATCTTATATGGCAGAGGTTCAGCCGAGCGGAAGTGGACTTGTTCGCTTCGAGCATGACTACGCACTGCCCGCTTTGGTTTTCCCTGTCTCCCCCGTCACCTCTAGGTCTGGATGCTCTGGGCCACAAATGGCCCAGGACCAGTCTTTATGCTTTTCCTCCAATCCGGTTGCTCCCAGCAGTCCTATTCAGAATACGATCAGAAAGAGAGGAACACCTGTTGCTGGGGGCCCCGCGGTGGCCCACTCAGTCGTGGTTCTCGGACCCGGTCAGTCTGCTAGCCGGCCCTCCATGGGAGGTTCCCCTCAGACGCGATCTGTTGACACAAGCTCTGGCATGATTTGGCATCCTCGACCGGAATTATCTCAGCTGAGATTACCGACACTATTATGAATTCTAGGGCTCCCTCCACTAGACACTTATATGCTTTCAAGTGGAGACTTTTTGCCTCTTGGTGTGGACAACGCACTTTGGATCCAGTCCACTGCCCTATAGGTTCAGTACTGGAGTTTTTTCAGAGTCGTTTCTCTGAGGGGGTTACCCCCGCCACTCTTAAAGTGTACGTGGCGGCCATATCGGCAGGACATGCACTCGTAGGAGGTGTTTTGGTTGGTCGTCACACCCTGGTGTCACAATTTATGCAGGGTTCGAGACGGCTTAGGCCGTTCCGCCCAGTTCGAGTTCCGCCCAGTTATGACAGGTCATCCCTTTGAACCGATGGAGTCGGTGTCAGAGAAGTTACTGACCATCAAGACCATCTTTTGGTGGCTTTATCCTCCCTTAAGAGGGTAGGGGATCTGCAGGCTCTCTCCATTAGTCCTTTGTGTATGGACTTTGCACCAGGACTGGTAAAAGTTTTTTTGCGACCTAGGTCTGAATACGTTCCGAAGGTCGCTTCAACTCCGTTTCGCTTTCAGCTAGTGGTCCTGGAGGCTTTTTCCCCAGCAGAGGAAGGGTCAGTTACCCTGAATCTCTGTCCGGTTAGGGCACTTAGGATCTATGTTGACCGCACGGCTCAGTGGCGTAGATCTGATCAGTTGTTCGTGTGTTTTGGTGGTAAGAGCAGAGGTTCTGCTGTCACTAAACAGCGGATGTCACACTGGATAGTGGAGGCTATTTCTTTGGCCTATGAGGCGCGTGGTTTGACTTTGCCTCTAGGGGTGCGTGCTCATTCTACAAGAGCAGTGGCTTCTTCTCAGGCCTTCTTTAAAGGGTCTTCGATGGAAGATGTTTGTGCTGCGGCAGGATGGTCCTCTCCTAGCACATTCATCAAGTTTTATAGTTTGGACATAAGGATGGCTCCTGGCTCCCGGGTCTTATCCGCTTGAGCAGATGCTTTCCTTGGTCTTCTAGGTATCTAAGGTACGTCTAAGGTACCCAAAGCGATGACATCATCGCAGCATCGAAGTGAGTCTATGACAGGGAACATCTCAGTTACGTACGTAACCCTGGTTCCCTGAGTAGGGGAACGAGATGCTGCGATGCTCGGCCGTTCCGTACCTTGATAGCGCTTCCTTTGTAAATCAGTGAAATCTGATGAAAATAGCGCGCAGCACGCTATATAGCTCACCTACGTGCGCTTTGGGGGCGGTGCTAAGCGCTATTTGGCCAATGAATTGGCGTGATGGTATAAGGGCTTCAGACATTCCTCACACCGAAGGTGTTTCCAAAGTGATGACGTCATCGCAGCATCTCATTCCCCTACTCAGGGAGCCAAGGTTACATACGTAACCGAGATGTTATAGCTGCTAAAATCAACAGAAACAGCTTTAAAGAATCACGGCCACGTGCTAATCTAAGAAAGACGCCACAATGCAGGACTTCGTAGAAATGGAGATTGAGCCGGCTGCAAAGGAGAAAAGGCAAATACAGGAAGCTCACTCTTATGCTTGCAAAATAAAAGATGGAGGTGATTGTAACTCTGACCCAAACACCCCAACTAAACATTTCAAAAAGACAACTAAGACTAGTGAAGGAAATGAACTGTCTCTAAGTGAATTGCAAGAAAGCATCATTCGATAGCAATCCCGATAGCAATCATTAAGTTAAGTGGTCTAAATGTATTTGTCTGTATTTATATATTCTGTGGAAGGTGTAGGATCAAGAAATGTTCGTCTAATCAAAACGTTCGGTCCGAGTGTTTTAATATGCTTTTCTAACTGCCTGTCAAGGTATGTATTAGCATACCTCTGCGCACCCGGTTCGCGCAGACAGGATACGTCATCAGAGCGTTCACGCTCGCTGTGCAGACAGAGCGAGGATGGCAGGCAAACATCAACAACCCGATCTTCCTTCCTGTTATTGTAGTACTTTTAAAGATTTCTCACCGGTGAATGACACATGATGTAGCCCAGCGGTTAATCTAGTCCTTGCACCAACTCGTTAGAAGTGAGCTACGTGCATGAACTGTGTTCCGATAGATATGATCCCTACACAGTGTTCATTGCTCCCTCCTCCCTAAGCAGGGGAAATCCGTTGAAGTTTACTTCACTTCGGAACATGGGCTGGAATTGGGAACCTGATGTAGCCTATTGTAGTAATGTTGTCTCTGGTCTGTGAGTGTAAATGCGTTCAGGGGGCGTGGCTTTGGACAGCGATTGCAGGGTGGGCGGGACGTTCGCTTTCAGTGCTATCAGGCTAAAGTTAGCATTTTCCAAGATCTCCTATTGCACCTTTAAGCAAAATACTCTTCAAATCGAAGGTATCAAGAAATCACTCGATAGCTGCCATCAAGATGTAGCAGAATTGAAAAAGGAAAACGCGTGCCTCAAAGTCAGGGAAAGATTTCAGAAGTGGAGCAAAAAATAAATGATGCAGAAAGGTACAACAGACGCTGGAATTTGCGCCTGTACGGGGTACGTGAGAAATCTGATGAAAACATCAAAGCGACCATGAAAGTCATCTGCAGAGAAGTTTTTCCAGAGGCACATCACACTTCTGTAATTGATGCTATAGACGTCATACACAGGATCGGCAGACTGAAGGATGCAAGGGACAGTAGCACTCCAAGACCCGTGGTTATCAGATTTCTTTCCAGGTCTGCAAGGGATTTGGTGTGGAAGCTCTCAAAGGCAAACGATCTTCTGTCTAACAAACATCTCCGCTTCAAGGAAGATTTAACTGTAGCCGATAAAGAAGCATGCAAGAAATTATGGCCACTGGTGGAGAAGGCGCGAAAAGAAGGAAAAGCGAGCGCATTTTGTTGGTAACAAGGCTTACATTGACAACAAAGAAGTCCATGTATTCTAGTGGTAGATGGTAATATGTATTCAGTTCATTGTCCATGTACTGATGTGGTAGAAAGGTATCTTATGTTGCACTTACAAGCCAGTTAAGGTTAAATACTATATAGCTGTTTAGTGTGGAAAGAGTCATATGTTAATTGATACTGTTGTTGTAGTATATATCTAGTTAAAATAAGAAAATATATTTTTGCAAAGACAAATAGAAATGAGTGACCCTACTTGTTTGAAGGTTAAGCACTAACAAAAAAGGGATTGTTTGAAGTTTATGTCTGTTTCAATTTTTTCAATTAATGCCAGAGGTTTACGTAATCTTTTAAAAAGGAAATCTTTATTTTTATATTGTAAAGGGAAAGGTACAGATTTTTACTTTGTGCAGGAAACACATTCAGGTAATGAAGATGAAAAGTTTTGGAGAAGTCAATGGGAAAATTATATTTGGTTTGCCCATGGCAGCAATAGAGCAGCAAGGGTCGCAATACTCAAGGGAAAATTTAGGGGCCATGTTCTTAGCCATGAGAGAGATAATTCTGGAAGATTGGTAATACTGGAAGTAAGCATTGATCAGTCACATTACATTTTGGTGAATTCATATGCTACCAACAACAAGCAACAAAATAACAAATTTTTTGGAAATATTGAATTATAATTGATGCAGATCAAGAGCAAATTCCCTGATGCTAAAATAATATGGGGAGGGGACTTTAACTGTGTACATAATAACTTATTAGATAGATGGTCACCCAAAGATGATGATATGTGTGAAATAAAAAATGTATGCCTTCGTTTAGGGTTAATAGATATTTGGCGTCCCAAAAATCCAAACCAAATTTTGTTTACATGGAGTAACAAAGATCAGTCTAAACAGTCACGCATTGATTATTTTTTAATTTCAGATACATTAGAAGATTATGTTCAGTCTGTTTCTATAGAGCCTTCCATCTTAACAGATCATGAAGGAATAGCAATTGACATAAATAGGTATGGTTCAAGTAAATATAAAGCAAATAGAGGATATTGGAAACTTAATAAAACATTATTAGAAAATGAAACATTCAAAATGAAAGCAATAGAAATTATTGATAGGTATTGGACTCAGGCTAATATAATGAATACCTTTGGGAAATATTGGAGCTCCCTAAATATGAAGTAAGGAATTTAGCCATTTCAATGGGGAAAATGCTTGTTTTGCTAAGCGGCAGAAAGAATGTAGGATTACAAAATAAATTATAGAGCTGTAGCGTCTGGACCAATCAAACACACAATATCTATTTTGTTAGCTATATTTAACAAATACTCTATAACCCCCCTCAGTTAACAAGCCATATGAGGACCTGTGGACCCTTCCCCCGAAATGCGGAACATCCCAGGAAGCTGAACAGGACCCTGGTTCCATGGCAACCAACGCAGATATCACTGGGTTTATTGCCCAGAGGAATGTGAGCAGAGAGACAACCTTAAAGGTCTCTCACCAGGGACCCGCCCAGGTTCGGTGGTTCTGTTCAAGATGTGAAGATGTGAGCTCCAATGCTCCAGGACATCCTAAGTTTGTGTGCCAGGCCTTCGGCCTTGTCTTCTCCATTCATCAAGTTACTCTGATGCAAACTGGTTCTTTTCATCAACCAACTTCAGCAAGATCCACGTGAGCCTTCAGATTGCATCAAGCCTTTCTTTCAGACAGACGAGACATGCAAGTATCCAAACTTAGTCTTATTAATTGATACATTGGGTACCATTTGCACCTTTTTACAAAGGTGTGTTTAAATTAAGAATCTGATGTTTCCCTCAGGTGTAAATCTGCTGAATATGCAAATGGTTCAATAACTTCATGTTCTTATTTCTCTTCTCTTTAAAGGGTTAAGCTTTAACCCTTTCCTATACAAACTGTGTGTGTGTGTGTGTATATGAGTGTGTTAGACCAGTATATGTGTTTATGTAGTGTGTTAGACCAGTTTAAGTGTTTATGTACTATGTTGGGCCAGTTTAAGTGTTTATGTAGTTAATAAAACCTTACTTGTATCACACTTGACCATTACAAATAGAATTAGACACTATTTACGAAGAGAAAGCAAGAGGTGCTTTTACAAGATCAAGGCAAATTTGGTTGGAACAGGGGGAAAAGAATGCCAAGTATTTTTTTAACCTGGAAAAGAGAAATGGAGAAATGTGAAGTGTCGGAGGATCAGAAGGAGATATCCCAATATGTCATTCAATTTTATAAACATCTCTACTACTCAAATTCAGTTAATTCTGACCTGGATACATTTCTGAAGGGTTTGGGGAAAGCAAAAACTATTAGTAAAGATTTCAAATCATTTTGTGATGAAGAGATCAAACTAGAGGAGATAAAAGAATGTATTGGGTATTTAAAAGATAATCGATCTCCAGGTAACGACGGACTTCTCAGTGAATTTGATAAATTCTTCAGGGATAAATTAGCACCGTTTTTGCTTGCAGTATTTAAAGAATCTATAGATAAAGGAGAGTTGCCGGACTCATTAAAACAAGGGGTTATTACTCTAATTCCAAAAGCACAAAAATATATTCTTCACTTAGACAATTGGAGGCCTATTAGTCTTTTAAATAATGATGCCAAAGTTTTTGCACATATATTTGATAAAAGACTGAAACATGGATTAGATGACATTATTGATGAAGAACAGACTGGATTTATTCAAGGACGACACATTAGTAACAATATTAGATTGATTTTAGACATGGTGGATTATAATGAGTACTTATCAGATAATAGTCTTATATTATTTGTTGATTTCCATAAGGCTTTCGACACTATAGAACATGATTATTTGTTTAAAACGATTGCATTTTTCGGATTTGGCAAATATTTTTAAAAAGCTGTTAAAATGTAATACAAAGGATTCACTAGTTCTGTAAATTTGGCCCAAGGAACATCTAATAGATTTGAAATTGGCAGAGGAATAAGACAAGGTTGTCCATTTTCTCCTTTTCTTTTTCTGTTAGCAACCCAATTATTAGCTCTTCATCTCGCAAGAAAGAATATTTTCAAGGTATTATACACAGTTTCTTGACAAATTTAAAATCCCGATTAGACCCAGAGAATATGCCATTGTAATGGACGCTATACCCAGTAAGGTATTATGTCTTCTTAAAAATGAATGTAATGAAAACCCTAATCTGGATTATATAACTAATTACATTTTTATTGGAAATATTAATATTTAAAAAAACAACATACCAAATAAATACATTAGAAATTTAGTAAATTATGTTACATATCCTCCAGCTAGATTTTTCTGGTCATCAATATTTGGAGACTTAAATTGGCGTAAGACTTGGAGAATGGTTGATAAATTCTTTGTTAATAACAAAGTAAAGGAAGTTTCGTATAAAATATTGCATAGAATTTATCCAGTGAAACATATATTGGAACGTTTTAAATTGAATATTGACTACTCCTGTGAATTTTGTAGTAATGAAAAATAAACAATTTTTCATTTATTTTTTCATTGCATCTATACAAATATATTTTGGGTTGATGAGAGTTTCATTACAAGAAAATTTAATACAGCTGTTAAACTGGGTGGGTCTGATATAATGATATATGTTGATGATTATGGGATAGAAAAGGATAAAGCGTATATTATTCAATTACTGGTTGTAATGGTTTCATATACACAAAATGAAGTGGTCAGGTGGTAAACCAAATTTTAAAAATTTTATCAACTAATTTAAACAATACTGTAATATGGTATATAAATGTAAAACAAAAAAAGCTCTCAGGACTTCTAACATTATCTGCAAATTTGAAATAGTAGACAAAACCAGCAGGTCAATTTCAGGCTGCAGCAATGTCAGATTGTGCAGTGGACTCATCTGGTTCCTGTGGTCTTGTCCCGGTGGTCGTCTGAGACAAGGTCTTTACAGGGGATCTGTATCTGGGGCTCATCTAGTTGTCCTGGTCTCCGCTGTCTTTCAGGGCTGTAGAGGTCCTTTCTAGGTGCTGATCCACCATCTGGTCTGAATACGTACTGGATCCGGGTGACTGCAGTGACCATCTGATCTGGATACAGAC